TTATAAATGCTTTACAAGGCATGACTAGTCCTCACTTTAGATGAGCTCACGAACATAGTTAACTGACCACTACTAAATGCTTTATAACTACCCCAAATTAACCCTTAATTACAGCACTTAATACATGTTAATAAAGCATTTATTAACACATAAGTAACCATCACTATATGTCTTGAATAATAGATGTATGAATGTACATTTAAATAGTTTATTAATCATTTACTCACTCGCTCTAAGTAATCGTATGAACCACGGACAACTCTTAAATAACTGGTTCATAAAAATGCAATTCTTCATTTAGAAATGATAAATTGATCATTAATAAAGGATGAAAATACAATTATTAAACAATATAACTACTCCTTTAATTGGATCCAAGACATAAAAATGTTACCAAAACCAAACTTTTTTAGGACTGCAACAAATATGCCATTCGATTTGATCAACGCCTTCTCCGCATCTAAGGAGATAACCACCTTTGGGATCAGAAAGAGGGCATTATGTTAGCGAGTGCAAACTGTTCAAAGGGCTTTAAACGACACCAGACGATGAATAAGGGTCTTTTTCAAGCGAAATGATTGGCCATTTATTAAATAAAATACAAAGTTTAAGTTTTGTTAAACTAAAAGTGAACTACTCCTTTAAAATTCCATTCCCCTTCGGCATTCAATTCGGACTAATTATTCTTTTCCCCATGAACACGAGGGACTCGTCAGGGATGCCCACTGTCTTCTTCTTTTTAACATTGAGATTGAACCTCTTTCAATAGCTTTGAAAACAGCCGCAGCGCTCCAGGGGGTATCGAACATCGTCTGTCTTTATACGCAGAAGACCTTTTGCTTTACATTAGTGACCCCATATCTAGTTGTCCTTTAATTCTTTCATTACTAGGTCGGTTTGGTACCTTTTCGGGATACAAAAGGTGAATTTTTCCCCATTAATGATTTGGCATTGCAAATTCAGCAAGAATTATTACCCTTTCGTTTGTCTCCAAATGGCTTTAAATATCTTGTAATTCACATGACGCGCTCATTTTCTTTTCTGTTTGAAGCCAATTATATAAAGCTGTGTTCAAAGAAGTAAAGGCTGAGTTAAAGGTGGTGTAGTCTTCCCCTTACTTTAGCTGGAAGAGGAAATCCAGTGAAAATGACAATTCTTCCCAATTTCCTTTATTTGTTTCAGTCCCTACCGTTTTTTTTTTCTTCTTCTTTTTTTGCCCAAATCCTTTTTCCGTTCAATTAATCAAACTATATCCTCTTTCATTTGGGAGTTAACACACACACATTCTTCTCAAGTTCAAGTTCATGTTCATTTGCTGCTTTGACCTCAGTGTAGTCTGTCTCGCAAAATCGGCAACATTTTTATTATCATTTTTTCTTCCTCTTTTGTGTTTGCATTTACACTGTAATACTGATACTTTTATCATCACTAGTTTTGTTTTGGCTGGTATGCATTAGTACACGCCTTAAAAAGGTGTAGTGGCGTAATGGTTATATATTTTGACTCTGTAACCAGACGCTATGTTATTCTGATGTATATGTTATACCAGACGCTATGTTGGTTTCACTGTATATTGCTTTACTCCTTTCAATCAATAATTTTAAAACAAATGTTAGGTTGATATCTCAGTAAAATGTTAAGGGCGCCTCCATTTCCATAAGTGTTTTGAGTGATCTGAACCATTATTTCCACAATTTTCAGACAATTTATGAAGTAGACATCCATCCTATTCAGTAATATGAGAAGTTTGGCAGATTTTGATATGAATTCAACCCGTAAGAAACACATAAAAATAACAAGCATGTGTGTTATAGCTGCGGCCACACCACAAATGGTGAAAAATCTAAAAAAATTCAGACCTTTTTTCCAAAATAATTGAATGGATGCTCTTTTATAAACTCTTGGTAGGGTGTCTACCCTTTTCAAAATAACAGCCTAAACACACCATAGGAGTATGAAAATATTATGCAAACTGATAAATTGCGTCTCCTCTGTAATCACCAAATATGGAAACTAGACTGTAAGCTTCAAATGATTTATAGTGTGTCACGATTAGTTTAGGTTTAGTATACATTACTGTTTAAAATTGTAATGGATTTGGGCCCGCCGGTGACACTTTGCTCCTCTATCCCACTTCAGTCATCACACACACATACTCACATCCCTGCAGACAGACGCTGCGGATGAAAGAGTTTACTAAACGACTGTGTGTATCGATAACCCAGCGTCTGTAGTACTAACTGAGTGAACACTGTTGACATTAGATGCAGCGGCGGAGCAGACATGCCGTGATGGAAATATCAGAGAAGACGTGATGTCTCGCAGTGCAACAGACCGCTGTGTGTGATTGACTGACAGTCTCTAAAGGCCGACGGAGCTCTGGACTGCTAGAAACACGTCAGAGGCTAGTCATAATATCTCTGCAATATGTAAAAACCATTGCGGAAAAAGAAGTAGACTTTAAAAAGAGCACTTCTGGAAGCAGTAAGGTCCTCGACGCTAGTGCTGTATCATGA